CCGCTCCGGTAGGAGATGCTGCCGTGCACTGGGCTCTCACACCCCGCGCCGCGCTGTTGGCCGCGGTGCCTGTGGTAGCACCCCAAACTGGGCTTCTCTGTCAGCTCTGCGGTCCCAAAGTTGTAATCTTTGTGGGCAGAGGGAGTCTAGGGTTCGAATCCTCTGCTAAGAAAGGGAATCATCTCCCCGGCTCCAATTGCTCGTTGATTTGCTGCCTCATCTTATCCTTGCCAATGTCCCAAAACGTGATATATCCCCTGTAAAGGGTATTGTTTCTATAGATTGAGCTATACAGACGGTAGGTCATCTCTCTTGTATTAGCAGGGAAGTTTATCATGCTAGGCCATGGTCCTCCACCTTCCTTATCTGTAGGCAACAGAAGTGAGCAAGTTAACACTTCATATGATGATGTTGCCAGGCTTTTGGTCTGTTTTGTCTCTCATCTTCTGCACATATAAGCCATATGAGAATGTTATGTTAATCACGATCTGGGAGCTGATCCTGTGCTTAGAAAGGTGCTGCCCAAAGGATTTGTTTGGAGCAGTCCAATGTTAACACCTACAGTGCTGGCTTATCTCCAACCTAGAATCCTAAACTCTGCCAAGTGATCTTAATGCCCAAGTCCCCTTTTTCTTTCATCTTTTCTTTGACTGAAATTTTCTTCTAGTGTTTGCCCCACAAGTTGTGGGGCACAGTGAAATTCAGCATATTTTAACAAATGCCTAACTAGAAATTAAGCCAGTCAAGCTTCCCAGTGCTGTATGACCTTCCTGTGGTTCTTGCATCCTCATGATGCTTTCAGTGCCTTTAATGCTCTTGTCATTCGTGTTTCTACAAGGGTCAGCCTGTCTGCAGCTGAACTACTTCTGTTCCTGTTTCTGCTGAAGTTTTACTCTTTTGGGGCATTTGTTTCGCGCGGATGGCAAAACTTGATCAGTGTTTTTTAGTTTTGAGTTTTGGATGGAAGTTTGGGAAATTGTAGCTTGCGTGGCTGTTGAACCTACACTTTCTGAAGATGGGGCTCCTCAATATGATTCTGATTAGTATAAAAAAATTACTTATGATTAGTTTAAAAAAATACTTAAAGTAATTCATGCTTCAAGATTTATGTGGAGCTACTGATTAGGAAACTTGTAGGGCTATCAAGTTTCTTAATCGAGTGTTAAGCATGTTTTTTGTGGAGAATGGAGAATAAGAAATATAACCCAGAAACCCTTCTTCTTCCTAAATGCCATCCTGTTTCACCTGTGCTAGATACATTTAAAATTAATTTGGGGGGCTTTTTTTGTTACTAAATGAATTTTGTTACAATTCTTGCCTAAAACTACTGACTGGCAGAGGGGTGCTGGTTTACAGCCAGCCTCTGACATCTGTTAGGGTCTGTTGCCATGTTTTGTTTACATTAGTAGCCAAGAATTACATTCATGTCTTAAAACACTGGTAGTGTGGTAGCTGTCACAGTATAAGATCTCTGTTTTGGACCTGTGAAGGAGCGTGTGTACAAGAGCTTTTTTTTATTTGTCTGTACTTATCAGTTGATCTGATGAAAGATATGACCTTCCGTATTTCACTTAAAATGCATGTGGCTGTCTAAAACTTACATGCACTTTATGTTCTCTCAGAACCCTGTTTTCAGGTTCAGAGCTTCAGGATTTATAGTTTGCAATAAATAGTGCAGTAAATTGATACTGTAGCTGAAAATTATTTATATTTGAGAAGGCATTGAAGAGACCGAATGTGTGATAGTTGAGTGCTATGCTGAGTTAGTAGGCTAGTGAGACTTAAAACAGCTGTAGAAAAAAGTACTCCCGATTTCAACAGCATATTTTTAATCAGGGAGAAAACAGCAAGATTATCCACTAAATAAAGCTCTTTGTGAAATGAGAAACTTATCTGTTAGTTATTGAGCTTGGGTGTTTTCCTTTGTGAGAATTACATGAATCTTTTTCTTCCTGCAGACCCCTTTGCTGATGCAACAAAGGGTGACGACTTACTCCCGGCGGGGACTGAGGATTACATTCATATAAGGATCCAGCAACGAAACGGAAGAAAGACGCTAACAACTGTTCAGGGAATTGCAGATGATTATGACAAGAAGAAACTTGTGAAAGCTTTCAAAAAGGTGAAGTTGCTGATTTGATTTAATAATGTTGTATAAAGGAGTATGATAGCTTTTAATACTAAGAAACAGAATACATGTTTTATTTCATTCTTGCCAGTGCGCATCATTTTCATATTCAGGTTGATCCCTTTCCCTGTCTTTTTTAAAACTCCTGTCACTGTCTATTGACACTGATTTTTGCTAAAAAGTAAAACATTTCTTTCCTATAAAGAAGTAAGAAAAAAAATTCTAAATGTTTCATTAAAATTTCACTGATATCTGGCTTTGTT